ACTACAGAAAGGGGGAACTCAAACATACAGGGTAAGCTGGTTCAGAATGACAAAAACAAACTGTGCCCACTGTCAGTTCCTTGCCAATAATCAGTCATCTATTGTGTTTTCTGGCCACATTCTTTCTTAGCATTGGTTCGTTCCTAAGGGACCTTTTTGACCTTGTCTTTTCAGGTTGGTCATGCCAGTGATCCATAGCTTCATGATGCTCCTACCAACGTTCCAGATAGTATGGAGGAGTCTGACAGACGTGTTCGTAGTGCCGCTGTCCCAGAGCATAGGAAAGAGCCTGTCCTCCATTCATGTTGAAATCACAGGAAACTGAGGCAGACACTTCTCTGTCCCTGAGGATTACGAAACAGACCGACTAGAAAAGAAGTGAAGGGTGATTACTGTGGAACACATGCGCTCTTTATCAAATCCTGTGCAAAGAATTTTCAAGTTACAGCAAACTCTAGTCATAAGGGCGTAATGATCGAACGTCTAAAACAGGGGTGGCCAATTCCAGTCCTCGAGGGCCGGTGTCCTGCTTGTTTTCCAACTATCCCTGCCTGACCTGCTGCTGATTACCTGGCTCAGGTGTGTTCAGTCAGTCAGAAGCTGGAAGAAGAAGCTTGCTGAACACACCTAAGCCAGGTAATCAGCAGCAGGTCAGGCAGGGATAGTTGGAAAACAAGCAGGACACCGGCCCTCGAGGACTGGAATTGGCCAATTGGCCACCCCTGGTCTAAAACATGGTCTTAATGTAGGTCCTGTTTCCTGGCTGCTGTTTCAACTTAACTTTATTTTTAAGACCGGGTATCTGTGGAAATAGAGAGTAATAAGAGTTATATACAAAACTTGGCCAGGTTTGAGTCCAAATACCTGCATTTAATTTGACCTGCAAATCCACACGTCTTTGCATGGGGCTGTTTTTGGTTAATAAAATAACTAAGCAGTTATGACAAACACCTTTACTGTTTGGCTTCATAAAGAGCTCATGCACACCACCCAAAATGGAGCTGTTTTGTTGATCCTGACCAAAAGAATTCTTGTCATTCCATTATTTTGACTGGGAGAGATGTGTAATCAGTTGGAGGGGTAACTTCAAAGCAAACACATAGCTGACTTGCTGAGATGTAATATTTCTGCTTTTTAATATATTCTATATAATGCATAGAATTCAGCTAGAATGAATGTACTGAATTGAATCTGAGTAGATTGTCAGTAGAAAGTAGTTTATATGAATATTAAATGCTAAGATGCTGCTTGTTGCACATTTGCAGGCGTATTTTATCTGCTGTGCTGATCTCACGGTGCCTTGGGAATAATATTGGGCATTTGATTGTATATAAATCTATAAGCTATATGCAATAGAGATATGAGTTGCAGTAATTTATTTACTGTATGAACTATGTCAAAACACGGGATTGGAGCTCATCAGAGGGCCGGCTTTCTAATTTATTATAGATGCAACGACCAGTTCTTGACTGGATAACACCGACAGTTTGGTGCTGTCTGACATAAGATAAGTTTACTTGAGTAACTATAGTGTGATGAAGGTATAGGCCTACCACATTTCAGAAGCCTTGGCTGAGCTGAGACTCTGGTACATGCACATTTCATTTCGAGGAGCTTGTTGTTTGCTACAGCACTGTGGCTGATATTTGTAATACTACTTCAGCCAGAAGGGATCAGACAGCAACATGACTTTTGTTTTTGATTTGGATCTGGTTAAGTTGTTTTAGGTACAAGCCTGCACAGTTCCAACTTAGCTGCTATGCTTCTCGAGGAGGTAAGTCACTAACTTTGCATGTCTGCCATTCGGTGCTGGGCAGTTTATTTAGGGTGGTTTTATCAGAACGTGTCTGCTGAGAGCAGCTGCCTGCTGCAGTTGACAGGGTTGTGTTGATAAAAGCACAGACACTGAACTATATGGTGAACATGACTTAGGCCTCTGTGAGGTTTTGACTCCTTTCATGTTAGACTGCCTACAAGTTGCCACCTATGCTTATGTTTAGTTTTTCAACTGTCAGAGGAAAATCAAGGTAAGGTTGTGCGATAACAGAAGACACAGGTGTGTGGCTAAAGCTTTTTCTCACCTCAGCAATAGCATATAGCACCAAACCACCTCAGCTCAGCCCAGCGAGTTTTCACATTTAGACAAATAACCATAGTGTGATGTGTATCTGTCAATAAAAATATTGTTTTTACTTGTTTGTATTTTACCTTTGCAGTCATTTTTAACAGTAGCTTTACTCAGACTGTGGATATGCTAATTTTGAAGCAAAACTGTTGCTTTAACAAAGCAAATGCGTTCTTCATCGTGGCCAAAATAAAGGCAGTGTTTTTCTTACGGTAATGTTTCTGTGTGAGTTTTTTATTTTTGTCACAAGAGATGAATGTGGTTAGGATGTGCAGCTGAGTGCCAGAGAGGTCTCATGAATCACTTTGTTGAGATTGCATAAGACATTTTTCTTTACAAAATGAGCTACAGGTATGGGTCAATGGAACATGACTGGAGGCGTCGCCGGTAGAGCTGCAGGCCTGCACAACGTTTCTCTTAAACTAGACTCACCTCCCTCCACAGAACATTGGCTCAGCTGCAGGGTTTTGTATATTTTTGTAATTCTGTACTCTTCCATAGCTACGTGAACAGTGCTGTGATACTACTACATGCACTTAAAGCTATTACCCTGCTGCAATGTCCTCCAGCACCAAATCCCTGAGTTGAGATGAGCACCTCTTTGGAGGACAAACAGATCTAATTCTCACCATAACTTTAAGCCATACAGAGGTGAGAGTGGTGAACTCAGGGAGCAAGGGCCCTCACTCCACAGTACATGCTGGCATATGTACATGAAGCGCAACACAAACTGCAAGTCAAAGCTCCAGCTCTCAGTGAAACTCATATAAGAGCTTTACCTTCCACTTGCATTACTTGCCACTAGCCAATCACAGCCGACCCTGAAACAAACATGCATGTGTTGCTTTTATAAATGCAAGTGAGTTTAAGGGACATTTAAATATGCTCAGGTTAGTTTCTAGGTATGTTACAGCCACAGATGCCTGACCTTTGACCATCTATTGTGCTATACAATGATAAGCACATTAAAAAATAGCAAATAACTATAATAGTAGCTAGAATAATGATAATGTAATGAATTAATAATATAGCTACAACTACTATGGCTCCCAAACATAAATCCTAATGACGCACCTACAGCTCTCCTGATGCTGAGCACCACCCTGAGACACTCTGCTCAGGGAACAGTAGTTTACATGTTCAGCCGCTGACCCTGACCTTTAACCTCTGGCCTTCCTCTAAACTTGCAGGCCAACCCAACTTCCACAAGTAGCAGCCACATCCTGTGTTCAGATGAGTCATATCAGTTCTTTTATTTGTGATGTGTTTGATTCTGTCAGTGTATTAATAACATTTACCTGCGGTTAACCATCATCATAAGTCTTTGTCAAGCTGTATGGGCTAAATGTTAACCCTTTGCAGGTAAATGTACTTCACATTCGAGTTATCAGTTGATTAAAAAAGATGCAATTAATACAATTCTGTTTGAAAATTAAGTCAGCAATCTGGCTGTTGCTGTTTTCCTCTTTCTCCTTGGGGTCTGGCTCTGTCTTATAGCTTCCTGCAGCTTATTTCTGCCACCAGGTCCTTGAAGGCTGTCTCATTGACCTCTGACCCTTCATTACCACCTCCTTTGGCTTCTTCCAAACTCACCCCAGGACCCAACTTCACAGCTTCACTGACAGTGGGCCACAGGAGAGGTCACATGTTGACAGCACATTGTCCTGTAGCCTGACAGTTCGCAGTGATTTTGTGTGTCAGTTTCCAAAAACAAAATCAGGCCCACTTCTGGTGCTTGAGCCAAATCATAATCTTTATTTTTGCAATTCTCATGTAATGCAAAAACTGTTTCATACTGTAAATTAGGTCAACAGACACACACTGTTTCAGGATATGCAAATATTTGCCCCCAAGTCAGACACTGTTGATATAGCCCCTGTGAGTCTTTTGAAGCAGGTGCTCATTTGGTTACTTTAAGCTGTGCTGAGTGCCACACCCAATGGAGTAAAGAACAGACTATATATGTAGTATGTTTACATAGCACCTCTCCAGAGTCAGTGTCACTTGTCCCCATTGAACTTCTGTGTTACTACAAGCTGAATCAGTAAAGCAGTTAGTGTTCTCAGTTACTGTGTATTTACTTAGAAAATACTCTGGCTAATGCCCTCCACAGTGTGCAGGTTCACTGGTTATTACAGTTCAACCACTTTAGAACAGGAGGATCACATGCTGGCCATTTAAAATAAAGAAATGGGAAATGTAAAGAAGAGTTCCAAAGAAAATGTGACATATAAATTAGTGATAATCACTTTATTTGGCTTAGTATATTACACACCGATGGCTCTAACCATCGGGGGCAACTTGGGGTTCAGTGTCTTACCCAAAGACACTTTAACACATGGCCTGCAGGTACTGTGATTCAAACCTCCAACCCAACCACTTTCTCTACCCACTGAACCACAATCTGGCATTTGTCTTCTGTATTTATGACAGGTGTTGACTGTGAAGCACTTTGCAACCGTTAGAAAGGTGCTATATAAATAAATGTTGCTTTTTGCTTTACATGGTTTAATTTTTTTGCTGATCTAGAAAACAACTCAGATCTTAAGTTATTGACTTTAAAAAAATAATTCCAGGCTGGAATTATTCCACTTCCAATTCAGACCAAGTAAAACGTCTGAACCACAGTTTTCTAGCAGCTATATTTCAGTGATAAGTTGTAAGTTGCCCTGAAAAGTGCAGCAGAAAAAACAGTCAGATTTTTTCAGTGTCATCAGGAAGTCGGTACGATCTGTGGCTAAAGGCAGGTTCACCCTGCTTAAAAGGTTAGCAACATTTTGTATTGCATTATATCAGCAAAACACAACCTGGCAACTTAAAGCTGTTTTTATAAATATTTTATAAATAGTAGCACATACTTAAAGACTAACCTATTAACACATGATACATTTGTAAAGGGTCACTTATTTGAAAATGAAGAGGACATCTACACTAAGAACTGTTCCTAGATCTTTTATAAACTGACATGAGGAAGGTATGAGCCCTGTTTACTGCATCACATAAAAAGCAAACGAAATGTTTTCATACTCTATACTCTAACAGGCATTAAACAAGTGTTAGTGGACACCTACTGTTTCAGAGCCACCTCCACCGAAACACCCATAAATTGCTCCTATCACATCCATTGGCTGAAAACAGCTGAGTGTGCAGCTGCTGTCCTTCTAAGGTTTTGATACAAGAATGTAAACAGACCAGCGTGACTAGGCTTCCAAGCCTTGGAAGGCTAAAAAGCACAGCTGGAGTGTCAATCAACCATTTCCAGGTTTAAGATATTATCTTAGGTTTAGCTTAATGTTAACTTATTGACTTGTTTTCTGCAGACAGGTAACTGATGGCATGTGCTCAACTAGCTAAATTAATTCCGTTCTGAAAGCTCCCTTCATGTCTTTTGTGAATCCTGCATTTTTATGTCTGGCATTTTTTTACTTGATCTTTTCTATTTATTATAATCACTGAAATGGTCTCCCTTAGGCTAAGATATGGGCTTGCAATTTCCAGGTTGCAAGCGAGAGCAGACGTCTTTACTGCTCCTCTTGTCTGTTCTACGATTTTTCACATCTTCTACATTTTCAAATATTTGAACAAATTCTACAACTATTAAAATGCCTCCAAGAGGGAAAAGAGCTAATAAATCAGAAGCGAACGAGGATGTTGAAGCAGAAGAGGATTATATTTCAGCGGCACAAGTAACAGAGATGTTGAGTCAGCAGAAGCAGATGTACACCGCACTGTTGAGCCAACAACAAGACAACTTCAAAGGTTTTGTGCAACTACTTATGGAGACAAATAACAAGAGACTCGACGACATGACCAGAGAAATACAGGAGATAAAAACGAGTTTGCAGTTTACCCAGCGAGATGTGGATGTGATTAAAGCAGCCAAGGTTAAACAGACAATACAAACTAAGGAAACAAGGGATGATGTCTACAAAACCTGTGAGAGTTTAATAGC